TGCTGATCTTACGCTGTACTATTTTTTTTCCACTTAACAAATATCGAATTGCTATTCCAAAAGAACTACGATCGTTTATGTCGTATATTCGTGCGTTATCCTTTAGACAGATTAGAACCCGCGATTTGGCATTAAAAAATATAGTACGGGTATTAAGAAAAGTTGCTAAAAAAGAACTAAAAGTTTTTCTGGCATATCAACTGACATATACATTATCAATGCGCAACTCTTCCTCAGCTATTTCTGTTTTATTTTGGTCGAAAACAAAAAAGTTCTTCAAATCTTCATCATCCTCTCTACATGCTTTCATTCTACCAACGGGAGAAATAACTAAGGATCCCGATAAAATGCCTGATGTTGGGGCTGTCTTTTATGAAGCTTTTTTTAAAAAACCCGAAGATATAATTCACCCTCACCCTTATACTGATGCGCCATGGTCAGGTGCCGAAAATTACGATGAAGCAAACCCTCCGGCTTCTATAGATGAAGTCTTAGATATTATTAGATCTCGTGTTAAAAAGAAATCATGCGATGCACACGGTATATCTAACTTTATGTTTAACTACTTACCACTCTTGTATTGGTCCTTGTTATTAAAAAATCTTTAATTTCTCATTTAAGGAGGCTATTTTACCATCAGCGTGGAGTGATGTTAGAATGCTACTACTAGCGAAAAAAGAGTCGATCTGTATCCCGTCTCAAATTCGTCCTATTTCTTTGTTGGATGTATTTTTGAAAGTCGACGAAAAACTATTTCTAACGAGATTTCGTAATATATTAACTAGAACAGGTCTCTTACCAGATATCCAATCGGGATTCAGAGAAAAATTTCGTCTGCAAACGAGGGTACTTCTATTTCTGGAACAGGTATCGTCGATGATGGCAAATAGTTCACCAGTAGCGACCGTATTTATTGATTTTAAATCGGCGTTCGATCAGTTATGGTTCGAGGGTTGCTTGGGTAAACTTAGAAGGATGGGAATATCCAAAGCCTATTTGAATTGGATAAAATCATGGTTAGAGAATCGAAGAGCCTTCATTGAAATCCAAGGAAGGAAGTCACGATGGTTTTTTATTCAAAGAGGTGGCCCTCAAGGATCCATCATTACTCCTACGATATTTATCACTTACCACTCTGATATGGGCGACTTTCTAAACTATTGTTCAAGCTTTTTATTTGCTGATGATTTAGCTGCAGTTATAGCTGGACGAATAGGGATTAGGTACACAGAACAGTGCATTGATTTGGAAAGAAGACTGAAATTGTTATGCGATCAGTTAGAATTTTATGCTATTTTATCTGTACAACCGGTAAACTTCTCAAAAACAGAAGCATTATGGTCTGCAAGAGCTATCGGCTCTCCAAAATTTAGCAGAACATTAGCAGGTAACTGTATTAACTGGGTTAATGAATTTAAATACTTAGGCTACTGGATATCGTCCAAGTTAGGATGGGGCAAGATGATAAAAAAATGCATGATCAAAATCAGACAAAGGATTGCCATGATAAATTCCTTCCGTATCGCTGGTTCCACATCGGTCTATTTGAGAAGAGCATTATTTCTATCCTATGTTCTACCTCTATTTACATAGTTATTTGCATTATTCCCTTTATTTACAGAAAAACAGCGTAATGATCTATCACACTTTTACTACACATGTTTCAAACGGATTACGTTCTGCCTTCACTGGTCAGATGCCTTTTTTGCCTTTGTATTCGATGAAATCTCGCTTGAGGATAGATGTATGAGGTATTGGGATAGATATTTCGCGGCGCTATCAGATTCAGTTGACGGAGAACTCCTGTTCGAACAACTAAATGTGAACGAGTTTAGGAAGGCTTGGTTGTGTGGGGTTAGTTAGTTAGTTATTAGTCAGTTAGTAGTTATTAGTTAGTTAGTAATTAGTCTTTGAATAATTTGATTGTTTTCTTTGCTTGATATTCTTCAGCTTCGAATAAAAATATTTGTAAGATATAGCTGATTGTTGAATTTTCAAAATTGCAAAGTATGAAAATCGATTGATGAGATATCAATCAATGTCAGGGTTTTACTATCCAAAGGTGAATCAAAGGTACTGATAACATCATCTTGACTGAAAATGTAAAAGTGAGAAATGTAACACAGCTTGATTAATCCATTGAAAATAGATTAAGAGCTAAGTGTAACGTCGATATGATCGACAAAAAAGAAAATTTCATACGTTCTAAAGTAGTTTCCATTATTGTCTTCCTCGCATAATCAATGTCTGTATGTGACGCGTATAGAACGAATTGCAACAGGAATTGATCTGATTGATAGATAAACAGACACTTCTGCAATCAAAGAAAATCTGAATTCAATTATAACCGATGAGGGAGAAGAAGAGAGAGAAAGAGAAAAAATGAAAAAGCATGCAACAGGTCAGAATGAAATTCAATTTGTGTCATTCATACAATCTTTTGATTCACGATGGCTGCCTCTTTACAACTGGTACTGCTATTCTATACAATCAATTTAGTTAAAACGATTACACTTTCACCAATGATAAATATACCTACAGCTGATGCAATTATTAATATTGACCAAGCATTTATGCTTCAACGCATCGGTCAAATATTCGGCGAAACTTGAAGAAGAAATTGTTCAGTCGGTCATACCTCTTGAAGGCCTATGCCTTGCGTCGTCTTCAACAGATGTGTGTCAGTTCTAGGGCTGTGACAGTTACCAGTTACCGTTACCATCGTTCCCCGTTACTAACGGTAACGATAATTGACATAAAACTAATAAGCATCGTTCCTCGTTAGTAGAGGTAATGGTAATTGATATACAGTAAGAAATCCTTTACCCTCCAGTAACGAGGAACGATGCTTATTAATTTTATATCAGTTACCGTTACCTCTAGTAACGGACAACGATGGTAACGGTAACTGTCACAGCCCTAGTCAGTTCGCTACATTTAACACAAGAATCAACACATTGGAATTTGTGACTATATTACCATCTCGTCACACCGTCACTACTTTACCTCGATATGACAGTGATTAAGTTTCCTATTTAATTCAAGAAAATGTTAAGCGAATTTTTAGAATTTCTCGTACCGACACAGCAATGTTAAAAATGTACTCCATTGTTCATTACAACAATAATTAATTTCATTGGACGAATGATGTCAAAAATTCTGTACTTGATTCAACCAAGATTCCTCTTGCTAGCAATCAATCGAGTATTCCACGCATATCACCAACTGCATCTGCTCGCATACTTACACAAATGAGAAATAACAAAATCGGATTTGATTGCCTAACAAGCAATCAATTAGCTTCGTTTTTGACTGCAGTCATGTCTGCTATCGACAAATCTTATCAAATGGAAGATCTCTCTGAAGCCCTTAACACTATTTTACAATTTATCGTGGGTCAATCTATATATGTTCAACATTTATGCTCAATTAATGAACAACCTATGGTGTGAGGTTCTACTCACTCACTTCTCATCTTTATTTAAGAAAGTGAACGGCTATATATAGTACACAAGTTGAACAACAGTTATGCAAGAGTTGCGCATGAGTTACATAAGAACAGAAATAGTTTAGGAAAATCCCATTATGAAGCAAGAGTTTCGCAATAACAGAAAGAAACGAAAAGAAGAAGAAAACACAGTCTTATGAGCTGCCAGGAATGGCAGATCATAACATATGGGAACTAATCAGCCATGTCTTATCGTTTCTACATTATTCTTGCGTTCGTCAATTGCAAGTGGCAAGGTCTTTTCAGTTTATCGATTGAAGCCATTACCCGCAATTGTTGATGATGAACAATTCATGTATTCAAATCTGCCTGAGATAATTGGCATTAATAAAGACGATGAAACCGTGATATTTTGAAATACTGTACCGAAGAAAAATGAATGTTTATTTTCTATTTTTGTTCATTGCAAAACAAATCCACCCATCATTTCACTTAAAAGAATACCATGCTTATTCAAAATATTTAGCCAAGACAATTCCATCGCTAGCTCATGCAAAATAAGACGCTCTCGCCAAATAGAAAACGAAGTTATGAATATTGACCATGATGTTTGGCTTTCTCCCATACAGAACAAACTCTTTACTGTAATTTGCAATCAAACACTGGTAAATTTGGTGGTCTCTTTTCTATCCACGAACCATCGATCGTACAAATACCTTGTGATAATAACATTAAATGTACTAATGTTCAGTTGGCCTCAACTGCTTCCACTTGTGAAAAGTTCTGCTCAAGTCTTAGCTATTGAACAGCGAAAATCGCAGGTCTCTATCTCATTCGTATCAAAAGTTATTCAAAAAATGTCCACGGGTCTTGTGTTTTGGGATGGATAGTAGTTTGAGATGTAACAACCATTGATTTCAATATAGATAAATTTTTTCTACTATAGTTACTGATATTTTTCCATCTTTCAAATATAAACTCATAGTCTCCTATTCTGAGGTTTTCACATATTAGCAAGAAATACCTCGAAAACCTAGGTACAGAACCAGTATTTAAGGGTCGAACCCCATTTTTCGCTCGATGACCCCCATCATAAAGACCACCATTCGATAGAGAATTGAATTCTGCATTTTACACAAGCGAAGAGAGAGTTTACACAAGCTCATGGACGAATGTTAACAAGAAATACTCGAATCCGCTGCTAGGTTTACTTACGTGTGTGAATTTGTATTTCCGTATATACAAATAGATAGTCCACATTCTGTTTATAACATAAATAGTATACTATGTGTCTATAGACACGTGTGTGTTTTTGTTATTCTCATTTTAAATGAGATATGCAAAAGAAGTCAGTCAATGTCCGTTATGTACAAGACACTTCATATTTTCTTAACGTTGTGTGCAGACTATTACTCGATTTAACGAATAAAACTCGAATTTTTTGCAGTTTATATCTGTTTTTTTCACTTTTTCAGAAAAAAAAAGAGTAATATACACGGTTGGAAATAATATTTTTCCAGGGAGGTAGAGCTGAAACTACACATGATATAAAAATTTATTATATACCAAATTAATGTTCATCTAAAATGGAATTGATGTGTACGACTGATATTCTGTATGACGATTATTGACTGTAGAACTATGGAAGTTTCTATCGAGTGCGTCATAATGATTAAATTCTGGGTGTAGTAGTGCTTTGAGTAAAAGTCCCGTAACTTCAGCACAAGAAACGCTTTTTCGATCGGGTTTATTTTGTTTTGATCAGGAATGATTGCTTTTCTATTACTAATTCTGAAATCAAAACATCAATCAGGTTTTCCATTTCTTACTTCGGCACATTGCTGTAAATAAGGAAAAATTTTTGAAACTTAGTTCAAAAGCCCACCATCTGCTCTAAAAAACATTTTTCACAGGGCAGAGGAAACAGCATGTTCAGAAGTACAAAAAGAACTGAGTTCTCACTTTTGCGACACGCTTTTCCGTGAATAATTGCTGAAGAAAAAAGTCAAGTCGAAAAAAGTAAATTAGTATTTTTAATGATTGAAATTGGATGGAATCTAATTCGTGACAACTAGTAGCCGAGAGCAAAGGCGTCAATATACTTAAGTAGCGGATATGAGACAGGACATAAGTTTGGTATCACAGTAAAATGACTCTACGCGTAGCTCCTTTGCTCCGAGTTGCCACGAATTTAAGAATTCCGATATTGTTCCTACATTTCGATTTAATTTTTTGTATATGATGTGAGAAACTTAATTTACTATTAATCCATATTCCTAGATACTTATACAATGGCACCATTTCAAGACGATGGCCATTGTAATGGAGATTAATAGTATAAGCAGCGTTAGCTGGCGAAAGAAAAGTTGAAACTGCGTTTTTTTGTATTGACCACCAATTTCCATCTGGTTGTCCAGGGGAAAAGGTCTTCTAAGGTTTTTTGAGAGTGTTTTTGCAGAAGCTGAAGATCATCAACAGAGGCAGAAGAACTAGTGTGACATGCAACAGCATCGTCAGCATACATACTTAGAAAACCACTTAATGGCACTTTGATAAAGAAGTCATAACAAAAAATTGAAAACAAAAGCGAGGATAGAACAGCCCCTTGAGAAAGTCCACGAACAATATGAACTATTTTAGAAACGCCTTGTAGAAATGAAATAGAAAACGAACGGTTGCATAAATAAGAGTGTAGGAATCGAATAAGAATGGGCGGACATTCAAGAGAAATAAGACGCGCCAGAAGACCATTATGCCACATAGAATCATACGCTTTCTTAAAATAAATATATACAGCTAAGGATACTTTGTTTAACAAAAAAAATTCATGTACATTAGATAAAAACAAACTAATATTGAACCACGTCGAACAATCAAACGTATCATCTGTTTTGTCATAGTTGCCAGTAATTAAACTTCGTCTAATTCGTTCTTTCTCAGTTTTCAACTGTTCTTGCCATTTTATATTTAGTTGAACAAGGTTAGATGTGGCAGATACAAGTTGTTGATTAATATGATCAATGGATGTATTTAAAGAGGATTGATGATGTGCTAGAACAAATTTTTTACCGTAATTTTTAACTTTGCTTTTCATATAAAAATGGCACTTACTGTTCATATGACCGAATCTTCCAACTTTCTCTAATGCTTTAATACTTTCTTCAATATATTTATTCTCTGTTGACTTTTTAGTGGCAACGATCGCAGCAGTTGTATATTCATCTATATTGCCCAGTAGCTCAAGCAATTCATCGCTATCGTCCATATCGTATTCACCACAGACACGACCTTTTGGGCGCCTCATATTAACACATACATAGACCTACTGAAAGTTGTTTGTTTCAACTATAACTTGAAGTTGGAGATACACCTCCATAGTTTTTGTTGCTGACTACTTAATTTGCAATAAATGAAAACCGCAGAAGATAAAAGCACAAAGTTTTTGAGGAAATTTCAGGACAAATCGTCAGGAATTATGTGTTTATTAATTCTAGATTGTTTCAGCATAAAATAAATTTATCTCGTATTCAGCGATTTGAAAAACATTTACTTCGAATGAAGCTCACCGCGGCTCAAAAACAGAAGCATTATCGAAGAAAAAAGGTCTTCACTTTATCTGTCAGAATAAGACTTAATACTATCTATTTCAAAATATAATGTAGGCGGATGATTTTTGAATAACTCAAGAACCGAATGATCTAGAGGACTGCGGTTTTGGGATTATGAAAGAGAATGCATGGGGGCGTAATCCTATGATAAAATGAGTATTATCCGACAGCTCTACCATAGTGTACCTTTCGAAGCAAAACGTCTGAGCCTGTCATTCCAAAAATGCACAAAGCGAGAAAATGCTCTGAACACATGTGGGTATAGAACAGATGTCGCTCTACAATCTGGCAAACGTCCCAGTCCCCCATCTATCATGGTTCGGGTGCGAGAGGCAATCTCCTAGGACTTACAAATCGGCCAAACATGAGTTCTAGAAATCTCACAAACAGATAGTACATACGCTATCGGACCAGCTGACTGTGGCAATGTTTGTTTTATTATTCAGGTTACGGAAATTGCAAAACACGAATTTTTCAGAAAATACGATTTTTCCCCTGCAACTATACTCTATCATTATGTCTTCGACACAACCTTGTATAAACAATGGGTGTTTCT